CCTACTCCTACTCCTACTCCTACTCCTACTCCTACTCCTACTAATACTACTCCTACTCCTACTACTACTACTACTACTACTACTTCTTCTACTACTACTACTACTACTTCTTCCACCGCCACCATCACTACCACCCCTGTAGCGGGAGGTCTCAATACCTGTTACCTTAACGGCTTCCGTGCTTCATCATGCCCACTTCTGTCTGTTGCTGGTGCCGGCGATCCCGCTCTTGATGCTTGCCACTCTTGCAAGTTTTATAGGTGCTTGTCTGATGTGCTCTAAAGGAATTTAGTCGCAGCTGCGACATTAGGCTCTACGCAATGGGCCGTGCGCACTTCCGTTGGTGTAGAAATGCGCAAGCTCAAGCTTGCCGCAAAGCAAATGGCGGCCATCTGCAGGCCTCATGCCGGTGCAATGTTACCCGTTTAAAGTTTGTAAAAAATCTTCTGCAGCCAATTCGTAGCCCCGACTTCAGCTCCTTAGGAGCTGCCTGCCATGCAGGGGGCCCGAGGTGGCAGAAAAGCTCTTGCTCCAGGGTTCCAGGCCGAAGGCATGTCGAAAAGTTCGCTTCTCTCAGGCTGAGAGGTGCAGTCGCCGGAAAATCTACGCATGTCATGTGCCAATTGCGTTCGACATATGTCCGGCCTGAAGCCACAAAACTGTCAGATGTTGTCATGAGCTCATGTCAACATAGACATGTGAAATACCGAAGCTCACTGATATCAGCTTGGACTCCTCAAGTTTGGTATGTCGGCACAGTCCTGATATACTCATGGGCACATTGGGCTACGATGATGGCTATTCATGGTGCGAGTATGCATGCAAGCAACGAGAGGTGTTCGCGTGAGAATGCACCAGGGGCAGAAACACCGCTTAGAGTACTCTGCTCCGACACATGAGATTGAGCTAGATTCAGCTAGATTTGTCCGAAAATGTCGTGACAACACCTGGCATGAACATGCACATAAAATCACGAGTCGCTAATTTTGGAATCTTCAAACTGCTAGGCACGTCTGGCTCCGGAGCACTTAAACGGAGAAGCAGGGCTCGATTTTCGATAGCGCAGTGCTCTTCGGAACGAGAGTAAGAGCTGCTCCCTGCGACCCAGCTGGAAGTTTCCAAGCACAGGTGCTGCCGGGGCATGCGGAGAGAGAGAAGCCTTGGTAGAAGCTGAACCCTGAACAGTCACCATGTGGAAACTAGTCCGACAGCTCCTCGCCAGACGTGAGCCCAAGAAGATCTACAGTCTACTATTGGGAGTTCCTCCTTCCCATTAGGCGGCTGCTCTTCAAGCTCAGTTGTGGGACTCTGACCATCTTTCCCTCGGTTGTTCTCCAAGGTCTGGACTGTTACAATCGGACGCCCCATATTCGGGAAGTATAAAGCTCTTTTCTGCTCTTCGCCCTTGCGCTATGGGAGCCTGGGGCTCTGAGGACCTTCCCGCTGACAGAACATGATGATGTGGTATAACATAACAGGTCGCAAAGGCTGCAGCATCACTGTGACATGACAGATCCAAGGCAGCAACTACGGCAAACAAAACAAAAACTATCTTATAGTAGATTGTAGCAGTATATTTCGAGTTTGTTCAGTACACTTTATTATAGTATGTTATAGTAATATAGTACCAAGATTCAGGATCTTCCTCCGCCACTTCCTTGCAAACCGGCTCCGAGTTGATCTCTTCAAGAGCAAAGCTCGGGGCAAACTTCGTCGGGCTCCGAAAGAGCTCCATGGAGATCCTTGACTTTAGGACTTTAGGGCTACAGGGTTTAGGGTTTCTTTTTTTTTTATCACCTCTTTTCCTTCGCCTGAGGGTCTGGAATACCATGTTGGTGGTTTAGGGTTTCAGGGTTTAGGGTTTCGGCGCTCACCCTCGGACTGTGAAGGCGAGGCATGTGCCAATAGGCTTGGGGTTAATGGTTGCGGGCTGGGGTTGTATTTCTGCCTCCCGCCCGGCTAGGACACTGCGCCGTTGCGAGGTGGTTTCGGGATGGCTCATGAGTTGAGGGGCTGAGGGCTCAGGGCTTTCGACTCACACACTAGGCAGGCATGGCTTCGGACCGTCTGTTCATGGAGTGTGATGAAGCAAGAGAGGCACTGAGAGTGAGACAACGACTGAATATGAAATAATCGCAAGAGCCACAAGGTAGCTATGATCATATATCAGAATCTAGCCAGCTGAAGCCAAAGTCGAGCGAGGCGGTGGTGACAAACAGGACTGCGCTCAATAGGGGAGGCAAGGCGAGTAATAATAGAAAAAACGATTGAAGCATCCTAAGTTACAAGAGCTGCACTGCGATCAGGCGGCAGGCTGGGTGAGTTTTAGCTGGTATGGTGACGAGAAGATTCGGAGATGAGGATGGACTTCACCTAACAGGACGAGGACGGCTCTAGAGCACAAGTGCGTCCCAGGATCTGCGTGGCGGTGTCGCTTAGCTCGGCAGGCCCAACTGTTTGGAAGGCTTCCGGAGGCAGCTCGGTCGGCAAGTCCCCCAGCAGCAGTTGCAGCCTTGACTGGTCTGATATCATTCTCGGCTTCGACTCTCACGCTCAAGGCAGGCGAGGCTTCAGGCGAGAAGCGTCCTCATGTCATGGTTAGGGTTTATTGTTTTTGTTTTACTGCGTTGCTTAAGGTTCATCGCCCCTGAATTTCATTCTCAAAGCCGGAAAGTCAAATCATTCTCAACACTATCAGGAAGCTGTGCCCAGGAAAAGCTGCCCGCCTTCAACGATGTCAGCAGATCTTGGTACCTCTTAGTAATGCTCGCCCGCGTTCTTGGAGTGTCTTCTGCCGACTCAAATCAACCCCAAGTAGATGGACGTCCCATCCTCGGTCCAGGGATCTGGATGCTCTTAAGAGATTCATCGTGTGCAACTTTGTGCTCCACTTCACTATCTGTCACTATCTGCCTATCTGGCCAAAAAGGCTGTGGACGGGGAGCTGGTACAGTACACATACCTGAACCACCGAAGTAGCAACAAACCTGTCTGATCAAGCCGGCGTCCGTGAAGCTCTGCTTGTGCGAGATGCTCAGATGTGGGCGAGACTCTTCTCTCAAAGTCAGTCTCTGGCCAAAAGTCCTCCATTAAGTCGTGACTCGGGGTCTTCGGCGTGACAGCGGCTGAGGCCAAGTGGCCCATGTCATCGAGCTCACTGTCGGTGGATGTCTGCTTTGAGATCTGTCTCGATCGATCAAAGCCTGCCATAAGACCGCCGCAATAGGGGATCGAGGCCACATCACATGCAGCCGTGCTCGGTAGCACCTTGAGGCACGTCTGCACCATAATGCCGTGGGACACCACGATCATGTTCTTGCGAGCGCGCCTCCCTCTGCTGAGGTAGGTCCTTGGAGGCTTCTGCGTCTAGATTAAGGATCTAATATTATGTACAACTTACAATGTAAGTATCATCGAATAGAGTATATCATGAAATCAGAACATGAGATTTTGTCATAAAGCACCATACAGCACAACACAATACACTACAATTCAGTACAATACAACACAATACCATACCATACCATACCACACGACACAACAGAATACACCATCATGAGACAGTAGAACACAACGTAACATATTGTAATATAGTATAACATAGTATTTTCTAACACAGAAGTAAAACATAATACGACTTAGTAGTGGCTGTGACATTGTTGTACGGCATAATGAATCGTACTTAAGTGTACCGTAACTCAAAATACACAACAGAACAGGAAATATTCATTCATATAATAGTATAGGTATACCTAAGTAATACTAATACTGCAGAACAGGCGGTGACCGTTTCACAGAGCCAAGCGACAAGAAACGGGTAGCGTAGCGATGACGGGCTTCTTTCATTTTCTCGCCCCATGAGGGCGCGTGGCCAAGAATCCTTTGCCAGCACACCCGCTGCACTGGCGGCTTCTTGAAGCCTTGCAAAAGGTGTGGCGCCCAGTCCTTCGCAGCAGTCGCATTAACGGGCGCACAAAGGGTATTCATGCATCGTGGAAGGGTTAGCCGGGTTCTCATTAAGCTGGTATGACATACGCCCCGTTTGAGGATACTGAGCTGTCCTTGATGGTACTGTACAGCTCTTTCCGGGACCGCCATGCATGGCCAGCGGTGAACCTCCCATGGATCCGGAGGTCTCGCAATCATTAATTATTGTCGGGTTGATAAAAGTCATAGTATAATGATATAAGGGTAGAATAGGATTCAATTGTTGGATGCCAGAGACGAAACCCAGGATGGATGGGTTTGCAAGGCTGTTTGCAAGAAGGTGAAGGTCCTGGGCCCTCTCAAACTGTCGAAGGCTTGTGTTCCCCTAGGATAAACCATCGCATCCCTCTGCCCCCTGTAACCCAAACCTTAGACCCTGCAATAAACCCCAACCTCAAACCCTAAACCATAGGGGGCTCATAGACAACATAACCAAAAACAGCAGCGCCTTTCGCGTGGGTTCGCCTCCCCGAAGACAGATGGACCGAAGACCTCGCCAAGCTCGTGGTCAAGAAGCACCACAAGATCCAGCTCGTCCTGAGAGGGTATCCTTTAGAGGTTTTAGGGTTTAGGGCTCATAGTTTAAGGGTTACGATGGTACTATAGAGCTTTACGGATTCAGGGGCTTCTGTTTTGGGGTTCCTTTGGAGGGTGTGGGGCCTGAGATGACGGAACCAAGGTGCTGCCTGTATGATAGCCTGTATGATTACAATATTGGATCTTACATGATTAACCAATTTAATGCTTGAAGCGACAGCAGCCGATGAAGCAAAGCTCAATTTGGGCTGAGGGTCTGCGATGGCAATGGCTGTCTGGACGCAGCGCAGGTAGGGCGAAGAGACAATGATCCCGAAGTCTCCGAAGTCTCCTAATAATCGGGCCACATTCCGGGCTTCGAGAATTGCTTGGTCGCTGATGGGACAATCCCCAGGGTGGCGATGCGAATCTTCCGTGTTGTGCCAAGGTGAGCCCCAAATCGAGTCCTGCCGCTCTCCGTGACGCAACACGGCCACAGCCGAGAGACTTCGATCTAACGACAAATCGTCGTCGTCTCCACGGCCTGTCTGAACATCTGAATGTTGATGACACATCTTCGTGCCCGGCGGCGTGGATGTCGATTCCTCTGCGATGGTTCGCAAGGCCTTGTGCGACTTCGCCGGTGGCCACTCAGCAGTCGCAACTTCAGGGCAGCCTTCTGGCTCCTCCAGGTCGCAGCTCTCAAGGTCGAGCGGCTCTGTATAGAAGCTGCGATACAAGGAACGGATTTCTTCTGGGCCGCGTCCGCTGAGCGTAGCCTCCAAGCATGGAGTGTGAATTTGCTCCGTGAGTTCGAGCACGGCTGGGAATAAACTGCGCCGCAGTTGTGCCGGATCCACTTGTGAAGTGCAATCTGGATCTCGTAGAGCTCCCTCCAATGAAGTGGCTCGGATGCTTTCAATCGGTGTGGTGTCCAGTGATTCGGAGAAAAAGCTGCAGTTGCCTTAGCTGTCCCTGTCTGCTAGGACTGCATGAAGAAAGGAACGAAACACGACTAAGCATGCCAACAACACCAGGCGGCTCTGCAAAGAGCGGATATGCTCCACAGCTTCTAAAGACCGAACATGTTCCATAGCCTCTGCATAGCCTTTCCCCAAGGGTGTCCACTCGGCGGATGCCTCGCTGTACCCGTCCTGCGTCTCTGCACCCTCCCACAGCTCTGTGTGAGAATTTTTGCACAAACCTGGGCTTGTTGAAAGCAAAAGGTATACTTGATACCAGTACATACTTGATACCGGTATTGTTCGTTTTCAGAGCTCCCTATTACTAGTATAGTCATAGTGTGCGGCCTGGAAACGTTCTCGCAGGAGGCCACGCTCCGGGTCTTCTGGGCATGAGAAGATAACAGGCCCCTGAACTTCCGGGGCTGCGCCGTCATTCATGCCCGGCGGAGCCATTCAGAAACAAACGACCAAGGGACTATCAATGCTGTCTGCTACTCACTGGAACTATCTAAACTGGCAAACTTCGGGCCGACACGGTAATCGGAGACGTGCTGCCTGTGACTTCTTGGCGATACCTGCTGCAGTCGGAGCTTATGCGCCCGGGCGCGGTGTGTATGCACCTTAGGCGCGGCATTTACTTCGGTAGCGACACAAACACTAGCACCATCTAATAACAACATAACAGCCCGGAACAGAATGGAGACAGGGCATCTCTGGCCTTCTGCGCGTGCCACAACTTTCGCTCCAAGTCTGCGAGTGCCCGCGCATCGTGAACGGCAGGAGCGCCTGCCAGTAGTGGTTCAGGGTTTACACTCTCGCAACTCGGACTTGCCAGGCGAGGTCAATCAAGCGAAAGTCGGCGTGAGACAATATCAAGCCGGTTTAGGGGGGGACCTACCTGTCACGTTAAAGTCGCTGCGAAATCCTTGAGCTGCACGTAGCACATGAGAGGGTAAGCCTAACATCCACACTCAGTAGCCACAAAGCCACTCCTAAACGCTAAACCTGCACAGCCTAAAGCCTTACAGTAAACACATCCCCTGAAACCTAAGTTAGACCCTTTTAATTGTAAGCCCCGCAACATCGGATCGGAAACATTAATAATATTCCGCAATCCACAGGGCGGTTATAGTTATACTGGAATAAATCCCCAGGCCCACGTTGCCTTCGACCTGCTTCTTGACGGTAAGAGAGCTGCTTCGCTTCCGGCCCTCGCTCGCTGGACGATGTCGGCTTGGCACTTCAACCTCAAAGGGGTCGATAAGGGTTGGCTGAAATAAAGGCTCCTTTGTTACTGTGAGGGTTACTTCAAAAGTTGCTATAGGGTTACTTACAGGGCGTCCAATATGGGCTAATTTAAGGGTTACAGGATTACTGTCAGTCAGGGTTGCTGTAGGGTAGACCATAAGGGCGAATTGAAGGGTTGCTATACGGGATGCTAGGGCTAACTTGAAAGTTTCTTTTTTCCCCATCCGCCCAGCTGATAGAGTCGCAATGCAGGGTATGGTTTAAGGTATCGGCCTCGAGGATTTAGACGCTCGCAACTCGGACGCTACCCTTTTCGATATTCTAAGGGTTCAAGGGGAAAGTGCTAAGAAACTCTTCTAAGGCGGCTTGTGGTATTGTATACATAGGGCTTTCTGCAAGTATTGCAACCGGTGTCACATGACACTTCTTTTTCACCTACGAATCACCAAAAACCCATCGATAATTGAAGGTGTCTGAGTGCACACAACGAACCAGGCAAGAAATCGTCGAAACGTGTCGAAACACCAACACAAGTGCATGTGTGCAGTGGCATGTGTGCAGCAGCACGGCACGGAAGCTGGGTGCACGCGGAGAGAAATTATGTCAGTGGAAACACCATTACCGCAAAGTCAACAGAGAGAGAGAGAGAGATATAGATCCCTCAAGCTCGTATGAGACTCCGCTCCCCTCTGTGGCTACTGAGCAACCAAAGGAATTGCAGAGCTGAGGCTGCAAGCGCAGGATTCCAGCAGTACTGAGTTACTGGGCCTGCGAAGTGTCATCATAAGAATGACTTACGGGTTCCTAGATGGTTCTATCAGGTGTCCTATCAGGATTCTGTAGGGGCTGATCAAAATGCACTTTGCTCTGTCATGAATCCAGCGCAGGCGAATCCTTTGGGTAAGTTAGCAAGGAAGATCATGCAGGTCGCCCGGACAGCTCACAACAAGCTGCAAAACCTGCGGTCTGCGGCTCCTTCAGGCTCTCTCTCTCTCTCTATCATCTTCTTTCTTGTCTTTCTGCGGGGCGTAGGCGATCTCTCAATCATCTTCTTCAGCACAGCCAAAGGGGGCAAGCCCCCCCGCGCGCGCACGAGCACTGGTCGTCAAGGTCTGTCTGCAACCCTTCTACGAGATGAGGCCGCGGGTGTGAGCTCGCAAACCCCCCCTGTAATCAACTTATTGACCCCCGGCCTCATCTCATCGCTGCATGTTCTGGCTGCATGCTCTGGCTTCCGTCCCGCAGCTTGTTGCCGCTGAACGGTGGCTGTGCGGAACTCCCCAGCAACAACTCTCAAGACACCCTAGGACATGGATCCCCCCTAGTTTGCACTGCCTCTGGAGCACGCTGCACTGACAAAACTCTACACTCTGAGGCCCGGACCTGCTGCAACTCTGCACTCTAAGCACTAAGCACACGTACTTACTGCCCTGTACCCCCATGACCGTGTCTACACTGTTCCGGAGCCTCACTGCGCTGGGGACCGTACGATCCAAGCAACACTCTACTGCACCCAGGACTGCCGAACTCGCTAGTAGAAAAGCCTGCTACGGTCCCCCATGAAAAGCTGCATGCATTCGTCTACGCCGGTGCTCCCCCGATTCACTCCCTCTCTCAGTGCTTCTTGCCGTTGGGTCGTCTGTGGGGCTCGCTTGCGCTTGTGCCACCGCCGCCATGGCTTCCCCCTGTTCTCTCTCAAACTCCTCCATGGCTTGGATGAGGTCATCATCGGTAGGCTCCTCCAGGTAGGGATCAGGTTGGTCTTCTTCTTCATCGTCCCCCGAACTGGGGATGCTCCCCGGCCATTGCTCCATGCCTAGTCTCGGCCGCCACTTCGGTTGCAGCCCCGCGTCTGTGACTTCGTAGCCTCCTTGGAAGAGGCCGTTGGCTTGGCTGCCCCCTTCTTCTGTCTCTTGCGTGTCCACTGTGGTTGCCACTGCCCCCGCAGCATGCTGCCACCCAGTAAAGATGGCGAGCAAGCCTCGGACTTCGTTGTGACCCCCAGTGAGGAAGCCTATGCCCTCCCTGATGTCCCCCAGTACTGCTTCCAGTCTTGCCTTGAGGTCCGTGGGCCGAGTAGGTGCCTCCTCCGCTCCTTCACTAAGAGCCAGGACGCTCGCTGAGTGGGTGTAGCCGGCCATGTGCATCTCGCGCAGTCCCCTTTCCGCTTCTTCCAGAAGTGCCGAGACCACTTGTCCCCAGCCCGGAACGAACCAGTCGTAGTCGCCTGCAGTGGTTGCCCCCATCGCCGCATAAACGGCTTGGCTGGCTTGCGCGAGTCCCCCGGCAGCGCTGAGGATTTGTTGTCCCCCTTGCCCTGCCGAGGCCGTCCTGTACTGGTTCTCCCCCTGGTTGAGGTAGTCCCTGATCGTCACGAGGTCGGCGTACAGCTGGTGTTGGTTGGGCTCGTCGTCCCCGTGTTGCCACAGGTGCCCTATGGCTCTTCTCGCTTCACTGACTGGGTTGGTCCCCCGTCTGCGCTTGACGTGTCCTTCGCCCTGTCTGGCCTGTGTTGGCTCGGCTCCTCTGTTCCCCCCAGCTTGGCCAGGAGGGCTTGCTCCACCGCGTCCCCCATTGCCATGGGAAGGCCAAGCTGCAGCGTCACTGCAGCCAACTCGCGCAGCCATCGCCGGACTCTGGCCACCTCTTGCGGCAGCTCCGGCAGTTCACTTGGGTGTTCCCCCGACGAAGTGGCTCCCGAGGAGGCTGCGCCGTTGCCGCCGCCATGGCTCATGCTACCTACATCTACTTGGCTGCTGTCTAGCTGCGTGGCTGCCGGCTGTGTTCGGTGGCGGGCTGCTGGTGCTGTGTCCCCCTCTCCTGCGGGTGGTGGGAGGCACAGGTGCGGGAGCTGTTTGTGGTTGTGGCATTGGGGACGTAGGTGGGGCCCCCGCTGTTTGTGCGCCTTCCCACGTAGCCAGGCCTGGCCTCGGTATCAGGTCTATGGCCATCTGCTCCCACTGCCCGATTGGGTGGGTCTGCCCCGTCGGCGGTGGGTGGCGGATGGGGTTCGTCCCCCTCTGTCGGCTCCAGTCGTAGTAGTACTGAATGCCCACCTTCCGCGGCAGGCGCCCCCGGTGCCAGCGTTGGGTGCGTGGGTTCCACTCTAGCAGGTACATGTCCCCCGGCTGCATATGGGCCGCTTCGTCGTCGACTTGGCGCCCCAGGGCCGTGACTATCATAAGCCATTTGTCTGGTGCCCCATCGGTGATTTGCCCCCACGGTAGTAGAGCAAAGGCCGTGTTACGGCCCACATAGGCCGATGGCGTCTCCCCCCCGTCCAGCAGCTGCTGTCTCGCCCTGGTGTAGGCCCTGGCTCGCTGTTCGTACATGGGGTGGTTGTGTGCTCCTCTTGCCATGGTGACCCCCGCCCACACCCCGAATGGGCAGGCTCTGAGGTGCAGGTGGACTCCCTCTGCTATTGGGATCTCCGGTGGTGCTGTGAGCGGTGGTGGTCCCCTGCCTGCGCTGACCAGGAGAGTGTTGATGTTGCCGTCCAGAACCGCGTTAGGCTCTGGATCTTCCTGCGTGGTTGTGGTACCCGCTCTGCGGCGCCTGGGTTCTGCTGGTGGGTCCCCCGCTGCTGCTGCTGGTCGTGCTGCGCGTGGGGCCGTGTGTGCCCCTGTGGCCGGTCCATGCTGTGGCAGTGTTGTTGCTGGCTCGTGGGGATGGCCTTGCGACAGTGCTCCATAGTCTCTGGGTAAAAGGTGTTTGTTGAGCATGGACGCCCAGTCCGCGGGGGTGACTGCTGTTGGTGGAGTGCTTGGGTGGGGTGGTGTGATGCCGCCCCTTCCCCCCCCTTGGGCTGCTGCCCTTTGCCGTCTTGGTCATCGCCGTAGGATTTTGGCCCATTCCTCTTCGTCATCTTCCTCGTAAAGCCCCACGGCCGGGCCCAAGTCCCTCCACTGCTCGTTGTCTGCCTTTTGCCACCCCCTTTGCTTGTAGGCCATCTGCACTGCCGCTTTGTAGCGCTTCCCCCGCATCCGCTGATCGCCGCCCCCTTCGTGGTATGGCTTGCGGGGGCTGCCCTCCCCCTGTCCGCCTGCTTCCTCCAACTGTGGCACCTCTGGGTCCCCCTTGTGGTCTTGTGCTGCCGCTGCTTGCGGTTGCCCCTGTTGGTATGGGGCTGTGCTGGAGCTGCCCCCAGGCGTTGTGCTGCTCTGCGTGGCTATGTGGAGCGTGGGGATCTGTGTTGCCGTGCCGTGTCTGGTGGCCGCCGTCGGCCGTCCGCGGTCGGGGCTTGTGGTCTGCTGTGGCGGTGCCTGCGTCCTGGCGTGAAGGGTTCTCTCTGACCTGTTCGTGTTGGGTGGGTCCGGCTGCTGCGTGGCTGCCTGCGTGGCTTGTTGCTGGTCCCTCTCCGGCGTGTGTGTTGGGTCTTGTCGCGGCGTCGGTGTGACGCCCTGGTGCTGCTCACTGTCTGTCCCTCCTGGCCCCCGCTGTCCTCTGTCGTGCCGCGGCGTCGCTGTGTGTTGTCCGTGCTGTCCTCCTGGGGTCCCCATGCTCGGGGCTCCCCCGCTGCCGCTGCGTGGTGTTGTTGTGGCTTGGTCGTGCTTTCGGAAAACTCCTCCAGTTGTGTGCTGGCTGGGCACCATGGGCTCTGGATGCTGTGTGGTTGCCCCTCGCGCGGGCGGGTAGTAGGTGAGGGTGTACCCCCAGTGGTTGGTGCCCGGCGGCACGACATAGGTATGTTGCTGCTGATTGCTCGGCTGGTGGCAGGTGTGGTCTGCTGGCTGTGCTGTCTGCTGGTCTGCCTCCGTGGACTCTGCTGGGTGCCATGGGTCTGTGTCAGGGTCGTAGACCGGCGCATAGTAGCCCCCTGCATCCTTTGGCCGTCTGTGGCCCTGGGCCGGCAATGCCCCGCTGCTGCTGGCTCCGGTGCCGTAGTCTGCCGTGGCTGCTGCTTGAAGGTGCTGTGCTGCGTACGCCGTCTGCTGGTAGTGGTGCTGGTGGTGTGGAGCCCCCACTGTCGAATGTGGGTACGCGAGCTGTGCGGTGCTACTGCAGCTGTGCATCCCTTGTGTGTGCTCTACCGCTGCCGCCTGCCTTTCCTCTCTCGGTGTGTGGGCTGGGTCCCCTCCTTGCGGTTGCTGCAACCCCCGTGGCGTGTGATGGCTGGCTTGCCCCCCCTCGCTGCGGTGCTGCTGCTGTTGGTTCGCTTCTGGGGCCTCTTCCGTGAACTCTGCTGTGTGGGTCGTCTCGTGAGCTGCGGGTGGTGTCACTGCGTCGGCATGCTCTGCATTCAGCGTCTGCACGGCTTCTGCCCCCGCCGGGACTGTTTCCGTGGCTGCGGGCAGTGGCCCCGCCCCCGTTCTTGTGTTGGTGGCTCTGGGCGTGTTCTGCCGCGGCGAGGTCCCCCTGGGCTTATCGACTGAAGCTTGTGTCTGCCAGGTCACTACCAGCACTAGCCCTAGTGTTGCCAGCCGTCGCAGCATGTTGCCGCGATGCTGTAGTGGGTCGGGCTACGCTGGTTATTGAGCACTCTGAGCTGCGGCGTCGTCTCTTCACTGCGGCTGCAAGTGCAAGTGCGAGCAAACTGTAAGCTGGGTAGTCAAACATGGCATGCCTCTTCTGTCTCCCCCCCTCCCCCCTCTCTGCTCTCGTGCTTGTGGTGGCAGGTGGCTATCAGCAGATCGCTTCATTCGCCCTGCTGCCCCCCCGGTTGCCTGTGGTTCTGTTAGGGGTGAGGTTGCCGAGGCTCCCTTGTTTGCCCGTGGCCCAGGGTGGGTCATATTGCTTGATAAATGCCCCCTGTAGGCTGTTCCACACCACCGGGCTTTGGGCCACCTGCATCCAGTCGCTCGTCGCCACCTTGACCAGTTGCCTCTCTGTGTCAACCTGCGAGTTGTATCTGCGTGCATGCTGCTCTTTGATGTGCTTGGGCTTTGCTTTTTCTGCTTCCCACCACTTGAGGTTCTTCCACTGCAACATATCCGTGCCCCCATCATGGCTCTGGCCATGTGTCCGTACAGATCCCATGTGTGTCCCAGCTGGAATGTGCTCCAGCGGACAACCTTGGATTGCTGTAGTGCCACGCGTGCCCCCCTAAGTGTGCGCACGTTCCATTCCCCCCACTCCTCTCCCGGTCTGCGCGCTGGGTGCATCATCCGCCGGATCTGCTGTAGCTGTGTGGAGTTGGCCGCTCGTAGGATGGCTTCCGTCACTGGCCACGATTGCCCCCCCCATAACGCCGCCCCCCTGACCAATGCTTGGTGGAGCTTGATTCGTGCTTCCAGGGGTGTCGGGGCACACAACAGCTTGCTGTTTTTCTGAAAAGCTCGTCTGGCGCGATGGTTCATCGCGGTCACGATTGCTGCCACCCCCTCTCCAAAAGTGATGGGAGATCCCAGTGCCGTGATCACGGTGCCGTACGGCAAGCAGCCCACCTGAGCCCCCCCTATCTGGAACGTGCCACCCCCTGTCCTTTCACTGTAAATGATTGCTGTTTTGCTGGGGTTGATGGCCAACCCATGTCCCCCCAATCTGCGTTCCAGTTCTGCAAGGGCGTACTGCAAGTGCCCCCGATCGTGCGACCACAGGTAGGTATCATCCATAAACGAGCCGCCTGACTCTCAATCATCTCTCTATCTCTCTTTCTTTCTGCGGCCTGAGTTCCCCCCCTCCCCCCTCGTGCTTTTGGTGCGGAGCGAACGGAGACAGGGTGTTCGGAGGAAAAGTTTTGCAACCACTGTCCTATGAAGTAAGACTCGAGTACTTAATCAACATGTGGCAAACCAGTCCCTGTTCCCTTCTCCTCCCCCCTGCTCTCCTTCGAACTGCTACACCAGCTCTCATCTCACAAATAGCAACCTTCAGTACCAGAACAATCTACAAATCACGTCTTCATGGAGAGCTCTTTTGGGGCCAAATCTAGACGCTCCCTCTCTCTCTACGTCTCGCAACTCAGCCTTGCTGTCTGAGGGTTTGGGGCAATTTAGGGTCTTGGGTTTCGGAGATGACTTCCAGTGGAAGAGTCTAGCCCAAGCTGCATGCTGGGCAGGGGGTCGCGGAGCAGCGTTTCGACAGCGGCTGAGCTGCGTCCACAGTCGCTCCTCTTGGGGCGAGGGTCACGAAGCAAACTCCGATGTGCCCCACACCCACCAGCAGGGCAGCTCCGGCAAAGCTACTGGGGACGGGACTTGTGCGCCGTCTCACTTGTAGAATATGACATGAGATGATCTAGTATAATAAAGTATGATACAGTCTAACATGATATGAATATGGTATGTATGATATAGTAGAACATGGCATGATACAGCTTCGACACTGGGGCCCTGGGGAAGTCCTTCTCTCGAAGGAGCAGCTGCACATGCGTTCCTTGATTGCTGTACCGGGACTGCAGCATTGCCAGCTCCGACTCTAGGTGGAGGTTCTTGGCAGCCATCTCGGCCTGTTGGCACATCTGCTCTGCTTGATCGAAAGTGCTATACTATACTATACTATACTATACTATACTATACTATTACTATACTAGACTACACTATGCTATTCTATACTGTAAATAAAACTGTATGACCTATACTATATATCTACTATGATGAAATATAAGTAAGTAATATAATATACTGTATCTCGGCCTTCTGGCTGGACTCCAGGGACAGGTCTTGCTGTTTTGCTGCAAGCTGGGTCATCGTTCTTGATGCCTCTGCCACAGACTCTTCCAGGGACTGTCGGAGGCGCTGGCACTCGAAAGAGGAAGAAGACCACGAGGATGTCAGCTGAGAGACCTCCTCATTCCTATATACTGAACTTGGTGCCCGTGCAAACATGTAACTTTAGCTGTTTTCTTCGGGATTTTAATAACCAAAAAAGTCAAAAGCTGCTGCCAAGTACCCCTAAGATTCGCTATTGAGGCTGCAGCACTGGCCTCAGCCAAGGCCTGCGCGGATAGGAGCAGGGACTCGCGGAAAGCCTCGGCTTCTGCGGCTTTTGCTTCAAGCGCCTCCCGAAGGCCGTTGTTTCTTGAAGCAGCCATCTGCAAGGCAGCCTCGGCCTTGGCCAGGGCCAACCTGGGTTGCTGATACGAAACGTAACTCAAGCTGCCATAATGGGGATATATAGTACATAAGAGGGTTGCCTTGTTATAGTAGCATTAAGTCATGCTCCTTAACAAGAACCTAGCAACTTCTGGCTGACGGCATCTTCTTCTGCCAAGGCCAGGTCACGGGACAGGCGATGGTTGGCATCTTCAATCTCTTGCCATCGTCCACCCACTGCCACCGTAACCGGAACGGAGATGGCCATGAAGAAGCAGTTATGGTCGCAACTGTTCCCAAGCTTGCAAAGCTTCTGACTTCGCATGTAGCCCGCGCATATTGACAGATTTTATGACCATTCATGATATACTTCAACGATACTTCAACGGTTCAATGGGCACAGAGCTCAGCTTCGGGTCCGGCTTTATATCCTTTAACATGGTCCTTACAGTGCTCAGATGTCCCTTTAGCCATGAGTCGGCGGTGGCATAACAGAGGACTCAGCAGCTGCGACTGCCGCGAATCTGTAACAGGAAACTGTCCTCTGCAGAAAGCAAGCAACAACAAGAAATTGTTGCAAACCCAGACGCCCCAAAGCACCCGAAACCGATCCAGCTATCGATGTGTCGTCAATCCGGTTTAGCGGTTAGGCCTCCCAACCTCAACCCGGAAACCCACAGATATCAACTCCAACCCTAAACCCTACTTGCCCAGTATCCTACAGGAACTAAAGATATATATATATATATATACATATCTATATATATATATATATATGTATATATGTTTATATATATATATATAGACGGAGACAGGGTTCTAGTACACCAAAAACTGTTAAAGGTAAACCACCCTACTACTAAACAAAAACCCTAAACCCCAAAAGGTTCCTAAACGCCAAACACTTCTGGCTTCCCACCTTGTAGAGGCTGCCGGCCTGAGGTCGGGCGGACACTGTGCCTACCTTTTGAGGCGGGCTTTGAGAATTAGAAGAGTATTCGAATTATCACAGCCCCAGGAAGCTTCGGGTTGGGTCTCACGGTTTGCAAGTTGGTTTAATTAGGATGGGACTTTCAACCTTCATTACAGCACGCTAGGGTAACTATGGCCTGCTTTCAGGTGTAAGAGATGTTCGAAAAGCGACTGTGCCACCGCCTCAGCGTGCCCTTGTGCCTGGGGTGACGCCGGGACACGCTCAGGCGCAAGGTTTGAGGATTCAGGGAATTCAGGGTTTAGCAAAGCTTTCATTCTATGGGTCCGATGTATATGGATTCCGTATGAAGAGCCATGTTCGGGGTCGCTCTACCACTCCATGATACCAGGCCCACTAAGCGCAGCCCCGACCCTTCCAACGCCGTAGCAGAATTATACGATGATTATTGTATATGAAGAAACCCGCAGGGACTAACGAATTTCAAACCGGAGGTAACTACAATAACAACCCATATTAATAGGGGACTTGTAACTCCATTTATCACAAACCATGAACCTCCAAGCAGGGAGCCCTTCGTTAGAGCCTCGGGGTAGAGGAGGTCCCAAAACGCCGTAGAGTACAAAGACGATGGATGGACCGCTTATAGTACAGAGGAAGTTACTAAACTTTGCATACAGTATCGTGACTAGTGTAGCAAAGTTTTCTATCGCATGCTTCTAGCATCGAGTATCTGGAGACTTTCGTCGCGGAGGATGCAGAACAGAACTTAGCGAACACCACGACTTGGGGACCCATATGGCGGCCGAGATCGAAAGAGACTACCATAAGATGCATGTAGACGGGGGCACACATGGGTTTGTCAAAACTCTTCACAAACCGTAGGTCAGATGATTTGATCGCTTCTTCGCAAGGTGTTGATCGTGTTTTGTGTCGGATCGCTTTGATTTTCGCGAGTTTCATTGCTTGTGGTGGGCCGGGCTTGGGCAAGTGGAGGGGGCCAATGACCAAATGTCCGAAGCTGGGAGCGACCAGTGGTGGGTACGGCTGCAACGGACTCAGTTACTCGATCCCAACTGTTATAGCATGCCGCTTTTTCATATTGAAAGCAGGCTTTCGGGTAAGGAGTTGCTTCGACCCATCGGCGGCATGCCTTCCCAGCATCTTCGGCATGGCGGCCAATGGTCCTACTACATGCCGGGCTTGGTCGAGTTTAGGTTGGGGACGGTAAGGTTTAGCCGAGCTGCTCTGTATTTGCGGAGGGTTGCTGCTTGGCTTTGGCTCTGCTGTGAACATCCCTCGAGGCTCCATGGTGCTCGACTGTAGCAAATGAAGCAAGAGACATTGGCATTGGGTTTGCGATTTGGATGTCATACCTATTACTACACGAGGAATATGAGGACCTTCGATCCTAAGCCCAGAAGGAAAGCCATCAAGACTGAACTGAATCCTAGCGCAACCACGAAGCTCTACGCAGCTCCATGGTGCTGCTTCCTGCAGCTATACAAATATTTATCATAAATGCAAGAAAAGGCAAACACAAGCACGCAATCACGTAAGCGCGCACAATCCCGCCCGCCCATCCACCCACCCAGAGTAGCTCACACAACTTATGCTACTTCCAAACGGTGCTTAGTGTTGTCGAACCTATCACTAGATCACCACGTTCTTTAAAGACCAATGCCCCTTCGACAGTCCTGAATCAAGGCGTGAACTTGGCCCTTTGGGGGACTTCAGCCCTGACATCCCTGCTTCAATGCGTTTACCAAGCCCGGAGTCCAGTTACGGCCATGGCCCTTCCCATCGGGGCCCACCAGCTGATGCCTTGCGCCATGGGAGCTACGAAGTTTGGGGCTTGGAATTCTGACACTCAGGAAAAGTGCGGAAAAGTTGGCGAAGTCAAGAAAAAGGTTAACACAAGAGGGCTCGATAAAACACTCTGAACCTATGAAGCCTGGATTTTGCTTCGGGTCTCGGTGAGACAGGAGAAGCTTGTTTGCAGCAGCTCAGTTTCCTTGCAAATACAGCCGAGCGCCTCACCCCAGCCCGCAGCTTGCAGGGAACCACGAACACAAGGACAAAGTGTACTCATGATTGCTTATGCTATTTTTCAGTGCAGAAATCGAGGTTGCCACAAAGACAATGGCGACGCTAGCCACCAGCGGCAGTAAGTAGCAACAACGGCAACCGGAAGAGGAACAGGAACGGGAACAACAACCGCAACCACAACCCCCACAACCACCACCAGCGCATACTAGCGCCAGCAGCAGTAGCAGCGGCAGCAGCAGCAGCAGCACCAGCACCATCACCATCACCAACAGCAGCAACAGCCACAGCCACAGCCACCGCCAATGCCACCGTCACAGCACTCCTGCTGGAGCACCGAAACCGACAACGACGACAACTTCGACGACGACGACCACGACTACTACGACGGCCAGGCCATCCAAGCCGCGCCGACACCACTACTGAATACTGCTACTCGTGCTGCTGAGTGACTGCTGAGTGAGTTGTCCAGCAGCAACAACCATGACCCCGACGACGACTACCCCGCTGTGCCACACGGCCTGTTCCCACAGGGTGAAATCAACAGCTCACCGGGGGCGCGGCTTTTCAAAGGGGCTGCCATCGCGGCAGTTCGGGTACAGCGTCTTCTCCCAGCCTGGTGGTTGTCACCGTGGTCTAGAATTCTTTGAGTTTCATCAGGCTACCAGCCTGCGTTCTGACGATGTTCGCCGACTTGAGGTCGCGTGAGGTTCGGAAGAACATGTTGGACATCATGGGGCCGAGGGGTTTTGGGGAATGGCGACGTACCTGTAAAGAATTGTAAAGAGCAGCTCCAAACCCCGACCGCCAACAGCCAGCTCGCGGGAGCGGTTGCAGTCTACAGAGCCTCGAGCAGCTTCGACAGGTTCTCGTGAGAGCCATACTGGATGTACATGTACCATCATGTACCGAGCGTTGATCGTGGAAGCCCGTCGTGCCGAGCATCGTTCGTGGCTCCACGATGACACAGCATTCGAGAGAGAGAGAGAGAAAGAGAAAGAGAGAGAGAGAGAGAGAAAGAGAAAGAGAGAGAGAGAGAGCAGCTCTCTCTCTTGGATGCGATCGCTGTCCAAAAGCTACTGGTAAGTTTCCTGAGGCGGTGGTACGCATGGTGATGCTGCTGCATAATGCCGCATCATCCTTCTACAAGCTTCGACACACTATGGCCCACCTGATGTTTACCCATTAGTCCCCACCGAACGTGTGCAATCCAAGTCTCCAAACACAATTGAACCCCGTCCTGTAACCATGTATCCAATTCCTGTGTTCTTCCATAAGGTCGGCTTAAGCGAAACTCGGTCCGACACATCTAAAGGCCAACGACCAACTTGCTTCTACACGCCCAACCTCGCAAGCCCGGGTATACTTAGCCCTATAAACACAAACGAAGAGAGACATGAACGAACAAACTGAACCCGAACCCTAACACCACCCCTGATCTTCTTCTGCATCCCGAAGCTGGGCACCAGGCTCCCTCCTTCAAGGATCTGAAAGCTGTCCCACTCCTGAGAGAGAGTGATGTTACTGACTTTCCTGCCCAGTGGTTTTTAGTGGCTTGATTTGGTACATAACTCGTGTTCTGGTGCCACGGCCTCAGGAAGAGGTGCATCGAAGATCCAAGTGGATCTCGAAAAGCACATGGACAAGAATTTTCTGACGCTCCCGACTCTTGCTTTGGGGGTATGTGAGGATCTCTGAGATCCCACTGCTCGAAACATACTGTGCCGGACGATGCTTCGCAGTGACTGACGATTTGTCTGATAGAAGATGTGCACAGCAAGATGCCCAGCACAGAGCAGTTCTTCAGACAACAAATCTTGCAAAGGCCACAAACAACTGTGGTCGGTATTGTCGCGCGACCACTCAGCCAAACAGAACTGCTAACCAACTAAGTCAGAGCTTCTGCGAACGAGTTGGGTCTCGCTCGTTTCTGGCACGGCGAGACCACTCAACCAAACGTAACGACTAAAGCCAGGGATTTTTCGAAAATGCTACGGCGGCTAGGCCGGCCTGCTAAACGCCCGTTTCTGCAATCCATTTTAAATGGATGTCGAGCACGAATGTCACAATTCCTACTGGTCCTACTGCTGTTTATCAAAAGGCCGTTGCAGTCATCTCTTCTTGACACGATTTCTCGTATTCTTCGATGCAAGTTGTGGCTCCTTCCAGCTGGACATCGCAGGGTTTGCCCGAAGATGCCAGGTGTATATCATCGAGCTGCAAGTTCGGAAATGCCGACATATCTTTCAAAGCGCCCAGGCTAGGCATGTCGTTATGTCGCATTCGCGACGCGATCTCCTTTGCCTTCAGTGCCAGAGCAGCCTCCCCTGAAAACTTCGGCATGAAATGCACTGCTATGTGCATGAAGATGGCTTTGAGGATGCTGTTGTAAGCGGCTGCATTGTGGTTTTGCACATTTGGGTGTGCGCAAAGGTCGTCGAAGGCTTCTGACGACTGAGGTATCTGGTATCCTTCTTCTGCAAGGATGGGCAGGATGTGGCAAGAGGAAGATGCACTGTGAGCCTGCAGCAACCACTCTATGATGCACGAAGCTGTGAGGCTGTTCTTGGTGCACAGCAAGATCAAGAACTGACCTTGCGCCAAGACTGCCATCCCTTGTCGCAGCCTTTCGCCGGAAGCCAGAACTCTTGGCAGAACGTTGCAGACATGCAATACATGTGGGGAGATCATGTGTAACAACACATGGGCAGTTGCAACGGCCTCTATGTCGCCGTGATCTGCCAGGATCAAACAGCCAGAACCAACTTCCTCAGCTGCGCTTCGGCTTGGCATCTGTGCGTTCGCAAGTTGATCTGCAATGTAGCTGATGCTTCCCTCGAACAGATCCTGGCTCACAGTCATCGCTCTCAATGAGCCCAACCATCGCAAGGTCTCTGTAATGTCTTCCACCGCAAATCCATAGCTCGCCAAGTCCTGGATATCGATGACTGTATTCTCGTAGGCACGAATGAACTCATCCGAAGGCAGAAAGAACTTCGGCAGCATCAAAAGGGTCGTCTCCAGTCCCTGCATGCGAGCCGTAACGAGCTCTGCAACGCACCACCTGGATGTCAAAACCTGCGGGCTGCAGAGAAAGAGGAGCTGCGACACATTGCTCGCCACGATGGCGAACAGGCGTGAGAGGTCAGTCAGATCGTCTGCATCCAAGAAAACTTTCTGGCCACGGAGTTGGAGCTCGATTTTTAGCAGCCGCGCCAGGCTCCCGCAGGCATTCTTCTGGTGCGAAATGAAAAAGTCGAACTTGCGCTTCATCTTCCTGGTGGCGAGCTGCGAGCCTGCGGCGACCAGAGTCCATGCTGTCAGACCAAGAATTACTAGAATGAGAGCAACGGTGCACAACAGCAGCACAGCCGCTCTGTTCACCTCCGTCACGAAGAATGCAGCCTGGAAGATGATGGCAAGAAAAGCCGTGTTGGCCACTAGGTCTGCATGACAGGCATAGTCTGATCTCCAGGGCTTGAACGAGGAGACTAGGTAGAAGTTGAGGCCAAGCAGTGCGCTGATCAGGAGAAGGCTTGCGTTGGCGGAGGGCAAAACCGGAGCTAAAGCCAGGAGCACATTCCGAATCAAGAGAAAGATAGAGAAGGCCTCACATCCAGGCCGAAATCTCAAGATCAAAAATGAGCATGCTCGAATAAAGGTCATGTCCACCATTCTCAAGCGTCTGGGGAATTCGACGAGAACGGCCCAAGCACAGGCTGACAGAAAGCATAGTGGCACAGTGCTCAAGACGACACCAGCTATGCACAGCTCGAGGTGGGTGTCGTAAAAGTTGCAAAACACACCTCGGGGATTCTCTAGATTAAGCGGCGACATTGGCTGCCTACGCAACATGACCCTTCTCACATCCGACTTCCGTTTTTAAACACACCCCCCCGGCACCTATGCTTGCGCGCATTGACCACATTCCGTTGGGATGGCTCTGGCATTGGAACGGCTCCGCAATAGCATTGCACTGGGCGATGAAGAAAAGCACAAAGATGGAACCAAGGGTTTCGCAAAGAACATACCTGTCCACGCACCCTTTCTGGCTCGAAGCTGCTTTGGACCGGACAGCAGCTCGAAAAAGATGCATCAAGCAAGGCACGACCATAAAGGAACATGGAGCCCCCAATGTCTGAAGCAGGAAGTTCGCTGTCGGGCCAATGCGCGCGACACAGGAAATTGCATGCAGTGATTCCATCAGCTCCGCTAGAGATACGAAGTTCAATGCATCCAGAACGGAGGCGAATGGCTCTTCCCAGTCGATGGCGATCTTTTGCACAATGGCAACCAGTTGCAAGCAAACAACTAGCTGAGTGCCGAACATACTAGCATTCAACAAGTGGTCACCATGCCTCAAATTGCGATAGTAAGCTGCTCTCAGGTAGAAACGATGTAGAAGTCCAGTGCCAGTGCCAATCAGCAGCAAAAAGAAAATCAAAATGAAGTAGTCTTCGCGACCACACGGTCCACACCCTGGCCCGTTCTGTCGCAGTCCAGGTAGGCAGGCGCTGCACGCGACGCTGCTGTTGTCTCGCCCCGAACTGCATGCTCCCGGTAGACCGCCAGGGCATTGGGAAGGATCGCTGAAACATTTGAACACGGAGCCACGGGCCCTGCTGCTGGAGAAGTACCCGGGCAGAAGCATTATTGCATTGGAACCTGGGCACTCCGCACCTTGCATGCATTCTTGACATGTTTCAGAGTCGAGAAACCAGCCTGACAAGCAGTGGCAGTAGTCCCGAGAGACAGCGCTCTCCACCTCGACCCACCTCGCAGGTCCGTAATCCTCACTGAGCCGACTCGTAGTCCATGCCGGTCCCGTCCCACACGAAAAGCATTCCGTCATGCCAGAGCTGTTGGCGTACTTTCCCAGCGGACAGGCCTCGCAGGCGGACTGTCCTGGCAGGGAAGCAACCCTGCCTTGCTCGCATTGCAAGCAGATGGTTTCAGAGGATAACTGTTGGTGCCTGCCCAAAGGACACGACTCACACCGGTAAGTTTGCCCAGATTCATCTACCAGCTGTTCAGAAAAGGTTCCCGGAGTACAGACACTGCAGCTCGCTGCCGAATCTCGCGAGCTAACATACATGCCACTGGCATCCACAAGTCCGAAACCTGGAAAGCATGTGGTTTCCTTAGGAATCCACTGATTCCATCTGTGCCGGTTCGCCTGTGCCCACTGGCATGCATAAGAATTGAGCAAGACATCTGTTGCTCCATACCCGTAGTTCTGGTACCCGTACGCATTCTCAGCCCGGGTGCGCTGGGCTTCTTCAAGGGTGTGTTGCAGCTCCTGCATATCCAGCCGCATGTGTCTCATCATCTCATGCACCTTGAAAGCTTGTGACCTTAAACTTCGACTCACCAGTTTGCCGATGTAGGAGCCGACCGAATCCGTTCGCTTGTTCCCCTGTGCCCACTCACTCTCACTGTGGGGCGGAAATCTGATAGGATCCGGCTGGTTATTTGCCAATCCTCCATTTGGCCGAAACGCATATGTCAGGATACGGAAGTTCATGTAGTGATTCAGGTGTATGTCGTGGTCCCAGGATATGCCAATGGCTGCGGGTATGCCGTATGCGGTTGCCCATGCCATGTAGGCATCCACCATCCAACCCCAGTAGGGAGAGAGAATAGGAATGCATGCGGTCGTATTCTGGCGGCAAGCTGGTGAAAACCAAAACCTGCCATCCCCCTGACAGTACGCATGATAGCCTCCTGGTACCTCGATCAAGCCTTCCATGTCGCCAGTCCACTGTGCATATGGATTCATGTAGGCTGTATCTGTGAACATACTGCCTGTGTCGTTGCACAGCACTATCTCGTCAGCTGGCAAGTCGGTGTATCTGTCAAAATACTTCTGTGCATCGTAATGCGACGTGTTGTATGTCCGGAAATACTCCAAAGCATAGCCCGACTCATCCCAGGCTTCTTGCAAGATCGTGCGCGAGGCATACAGCGCTTCTTCACCAGAATAGCCCATAGTTCCAAGGTCTTCGGGGGCCATGCTCGGGTGGCGATCCCGAAAAGTTTCAAAGTGAACTCCGTATGCCCCAATCCAGGACTCAAGGGCAATGTGTCCCACAGTTCCTGGCCTGGTCTCATTGCATTCAGCAGTGGAGCAAAGAGACAATAGCAAAGCCGAATCCAGCACCTCAGTTGGCCACCAGCTGTAGAATCTGGTACTGTATCCCAGAGCTTCTGATATCAGAATCTCAGCGATTTTCGTGACAAAATAGGAGGAATCCCAGCTGTAGGGAATAAGCACGATTTCGGTTTCAACCCCATCCGCATTCTTGATCAGAGCGCGATCCTCCGCTGGTATCGCATCATGCAGGCAAACTGCAGTAGAACGAATTGCCAGCAACGCCAGGAGACGAAGTATACACCCAAACATGCGCCCAAGGCACCGATTAACTGGCTTGTCGGACAAGGGGTCTTCGTTGCTTCAGAGGTTTATTGAAACTGTGGCGTCACGGCCATCGACGGCAATGTTGCGAGAATGTGACAGTATCTATCTTCATTATTGTAACTAGGTTTACATGCGATAAGAATGCCGGGCTGCCGTTGAAAGCAGAGGTTAAAGCTGCAGCGCGTCCATCAACGGGTGGCCACGGAACAATTCTAAACAGCTTTCTAGCGCTTCTACCCACTGGCCATGAATATTTCACCTGCTCGTAGGCCGTAGGCTCAGTCCGGGAGCAAGTGCCTGCTGGCTGAGGCTGACAATGTAATAGAAGTGGCTGCCATCCCATTGCCTCGGCCCGCACTTAGAACATAGGGGCATGAGTACTTAAGAGTTTTCTTCTCTCGGGTTTCCAAATATTGCATCTAGAGTATGCAAACCCGCAAAACCTCTCGTAGATAGTTAGGTCGTTTAGCCTCTCTGTTTCTTTATGCATGCACTCGGACAAGCCAGGTACGGGCTGCAATTTGTATGATTATTGGGCGCCTTTTGCTCAGGTGGAAACGGGTTGGTGAGGCCCCGCACTTCCAACATTTCGCATGATGGCGCATCGTGAAAAGTGCTGCAAGTGCACATCCCATCTCGGCTCACTGCATGTCGTTGCCTCGGAAATCGTCCCAAGTCCTTGCTTCCGATTTTCAGAACTCTAAGCGGTGCATTAGGCGTAGCTTCAGATTCAGCTGTTCCTGGAACAACCAACGGGTGACTCTTATCGCGCGGAACGCACTCGATGATAGGATTCGATGCAGCAGGATAGTCTGATACCGGCAGGGTCCGAATTCAAGAACCGTGGCCTTTTGAGTTCTCTGCCCTAGCATTTGTTGCCCTTATGTGGAAGCATGATCTGACACCCAGCTCGAGGAAATAGATAACAGCAGCATCAAAACGCCAGGCCTCCCAAGGCAGGTTTAGGGTTTAGCGGTAGGGCTTTTTGTTGAAGATCTTTTTCCTGGTGGTAGCGTTTGGGGTTTAGGGGTTTGGGGTGTAACGGTTCAAGATTTGAAGGTTTCGGCTCTCGCAACTCGCACATCGCAGGAGCGCTTCATGAGAGTTTAGAATTAGAATTTAGGAAACATAGGGAAACCCTCTTTTGCTACTGGACTTGAGGAAACTGAGCCTTTGGCGAAGGTTTAGGGGTGCCAAGGAAGACTCGGCACCCGACCCCATGATCTTGTAACTCTTCGAGCCGAAATCGAAACACCTGGGCGATCCGAAAGATAGGAGTCGGGGTTTAGGGTTGAGGGCCCAGGAATGTGGTCTAAGGCGTATAGCCTTCGTGGGCAGGTTTCTCGTGAGAAGGCCAGCTTGCTCTTTGAGTTGTTCCTACAGTCCTACAGTAATGTTTTGGGTAGCAGAGCGATATGACGTATGTGCATGTGTATCTATACATGAGCAAGGGGCAGCCTGTGCACCTATAACTACAGACAGGAGCATACCTACTCCCCTGCACGAACTACGCACACTTCCACATGTGTCGGCTGATCTGTCTTCCGGATTGTATGCCGCAAGATGTCCCAAATCTGCGCGTGTGTGGCTGTTTTTGTTGTGTCTGTTTTCATGCTCCGACATCCTATGCATGTTCCCAGTTGGAATGCACACTGACCTCCGTTACTCGAGGAAGCTGACTTCATCAACCACGAACGAAGCAATAGGTCCTTTTCTTGCTGGGCTCACGCGGTCTCCCCCTCGGGGCCACACTGCGGCCTGCCAGGCTAGTGATGTGACTTGTGCTGCGGTAATCATGATGAGGACGCCGATCGTGCAAGTGATCAGGACTAGGGTCTTGCGGCAGTTCCTTCACATCCACATCACATGCTACCAGGTGGTTTCAAGGCTTATTGTGAGCATCTGCACTGGGTCTATGTTTACGATGCCCCCCAGGTCAGAGGGTGCGCAATTGTGTCAGGATTCTCATGACATGAGGGCCTAGGGCGTAGCTGTCGACCTTCACATCACATATAGGCCGGTGAACATTATCGTAGGTGATGCCGTGGCTTTTCAGTGCGCCGGATTCTTCACGGCTTCTGGCCGAGGGTTTCGGAAGTGCTATTTTCCGTCCTGCCGGTGACAAAGCAAAAGGTCGTGTCACTTTGGCGATACTGCCTTGTGGTGTCGTACAGCAGTGGACTTGGTAGTTGCTGCTAGCACACGTGCCACTATTTCTGCAACGGGTATGTATAGAGCCCCGGTGAATCCTTGCCGCCCCGCCCATATTATAGGGACTCACATCCTTCTCAAGTGAGGAGGTTTGTGAATCCGGGGTCTACATGAGTCTGAGTCTTCTCCGCAACGAAACATTCTAATAATTCCCATAAGCGGACCATGCTGTGATGATAAAGGGACACCACCACTGCCGCCACCACTACTTGCTTACTTACTTCTACGATTACTACTACTACTACTGCTGCTGCTGCTACTACTACTACTACTACTACTACTACTCCCGATCTCTGTATTAAGCGCGAAAGCTCAATCGCGAGTTTCTGAGGTCCTCCGTCGGACGGAGCCCGGCGCACCGCAAGCCGCAAACGGGCGGAGCGGCTCCTGCTTTGCTGCGCAAACACAAACCATGCATGTATGTATGTATGTATGTATGTATGTATGTATGTATCCATGTAATTTGGCATGTATGTTTTAAGTTATGTTAGCATGCATGTAATTACGTACAAGTATGTATATGGTACATCTCTGCAGATGTACCTGTGTATGTATCTGTAATCATGTCCACGGATATCCACATGTGTAGGTATACGTCAAGGCACATAACGCACAGGCTACCTGTATGTGTATATATGTATATATACTCATGTCCTCAGCCTTCTTCATACACTTTGCATTGCCCTATCAATTTGGATGCAACAGCTCTCAACTCTCGTCTCTTCTGTGGGACAAGGGTTACCGGACTTGCTGGAGCCGCATGAGCAGAACTCGATTGCCAAACGACGAGCAGTGTAGTCATGATCCGTGGCCAGGCACTCTCTCAAAGTGCTCTAGCACCGGAGCTGAAAACTGAATGAATGAATAGCCTCAAACCCTGAACCCTTCGCCAGTGGCTGGAAAGGACGGCCGGGGTCCCTTCCCCCACTCCGGTACACCCTGATTTGAGGAGGCTTCTGATGTTCTACTACAAGTGTCATAAGGAGGTCGAGAGAATAATATTGATAATTGTTCCGGCTTCTATATTACACCCTTTTCAGCATGGTCTTTAAGTGTGTGCCAACTGTATTGCACCCTGAAACACTGTCCCTGGCGGTCGGCACCTTGGGTTTCGTGACAGCTCGGCTTTACCAGGGCGGAGTCCCTACCGGAACTGCACGGATTTTGGGGATTCAGGGCCAGCTGGTGTTGTTGATGTCGTGCCTCACCGGTTGCGCAAGGAGGTCCCAAGGCATCCCTACAATGCCCTACAAGATGTTGGAAGGGCGCTTGAGGAACCTTCTGTGCCATTTTCGTCTTCAACTCAGAGTCCGGACTACAGCCTCAAGAAAAGCTGCCATGTACAGCGCATGCCAAAAGCTGCATCAACATGCCATGTGAAACGTCCCACCTACAAGTTCCCTAGTACCATGGAACTATTACCTACCCATTGTTCGACTGCTGACTGCTTTAGGATGTGGTACCCTATTTCCTATGTTCTACCCAAACTCAGTATAGTATGACATCGTATATAAAGTTTATGAGGCCTCGAGAACCCTCGGCCGAGAAACATCCAAAGGCGCCGGCGAATGCCAGGGAACGCAAGTCATCGCGACACCCTACACTACACCCCAAAGCACATGATTTGAAGCCCGAGAGCCGGTAAATCCCGTCAAACCCCTAACCGTGCCTAAGCACTAAGCCCTGAAACCACCAAATGCCATAGGTGCCAGCCTGATTACATCCTAAGCTCCTTGCTCCCTAAAGCCTTCCAAATTCTGTATTAGACTAAGCCTCTACATCTCTCATCCTCCAACCGCTCCTCGGACTCTGAAGATTGAAGTGCAGACAATAGACAGTAGAGTCTAAACTTTATAATTCCTAATCCATGAGCCTCCCGGCCGGTTGCCGGCAGCCAGGGGCCCTGGCGTGCCGCAGTGCGGCCAAGAGCCTCGCCCCGCACCTTCCCGAGTGGCTATGGAAGCCAGATACCTACACTGAGTCGTTCAGAAGGGCTGCAGGGGACTGAGATTTTTCCCTCTGCGTAGCAAGGACGGGATTTGGGGTTGACAAACGGCTAATGAGGCATTGCATGGGGGTTCTTATGAAGAGATCAAAGGTGCCTTATTTAGAGCCCTGCTACGTGCGGTACGTATTCCTCTTTCTTTCTGCCGGGAATATGTTCTTCTGCCTCTCTCCCTGGCACGGTCGCAGAATTCGGTTAGACGCAGATGCCGACGTATTGACTGAAGGTAGGAGACTGGCGACACCGAACGAGTCCCAAGATACAAAGACTATTTATAGGAATGCAGTCGTAAATGTAACACCAGGGAAAAGAAGACGACACTTTTTATGCCGTTGGCAGACTGGCAGAACAAGAGCTTTCAGGACAAACTCGGGCAGTGCGGCGCCATGTGGCAAACCGGGTGAAGCACAACCCCAGTTTCGGTCTGGGGTTTAGGAAGATATGTGTTTAGAGGGGTGGGATCGCATGCAGCTTGTTTGTTTTTGAGAATTTGGGCTTGTATTTCTATTTTTGAGCAACGAGGTTAGTGGGTTTCATAGTTAGCTTCAGCTATGAACTGGTGCCTTCTTGCGGACAAGGTCGTCTTCCAGCGAGTGGAAGGAGATGATTGCCAGGAGGCCTCACGCTATGGACCGACACTACTCGGTGGTATAGTTCTTACGAAACCCTGAACCCAAATCCTATAAAAGTTCCTGACAAGTAAGTACACGGCTCTCCGTAGTCTGTGCTTCCGTGTGACCACCCGCTTGGTTGGGACGCTAGACGCCTAAATAGCGTGCCGTAAACGGCCAGATGGTGTTCTTGGTCCTCTTGTAGGGCTCAGGCTGCACGCTGCTGCCATTTGTGATCCACCAGCTGGATCGCGCTGTTCGTCGAAAAGGCCGTTTGTGCCCCACCACATCACTCCAGTTCTGACCCTGGGAAAATCAACCGAACACCTCAAACTGATCCTGAAGGTTGTGCTGCTCAAGATGCCTTAAACCCCGAACAATTGAATCCTCAACGTGCCGAAACGCCCATATCAGGCCGAACAATGCAAAGTGCAACTTATACCAACGAAAAACCATCCCTAATAGGTTTATCTTCTGAACCCACTCTGCTACGCTGCCTCCCGGAGCCAGCACTTGTTCTGCCGCCTCGAGAAGTGCCGAAACTGCTGACAACTCACCTGGGAAATGTCAGACTCTCTGCGGTTACTTCTAGATGGGAAGAAGACTATCGGTACTTGGAGAACAATAAGGCCTGAAAGCCCAGAAGAACTCACGTTCAAGCACCCGCACCGGCTTCCATGCCAACATCTCCTCTGAGCCAGTGCTGCTTTTGCATTTTGCCCTTCTTTTTGCTCTCAGATGTCACTCACAGGCTGCTGGCCATCACAGATTCGTGTCCGCCCAGCCGTTGTGCAAACCCGCTATAAGTTCAATGTCTCGGGAGCTCAAGATTTGTCTAAGAGTCGTACTTCTTGACGCTCTTTTCGCAAGTCTGCATAACAAATACATAAGTTAAGCCACGGCAGCCTTGCGACAGGTTTTCATGTGACAGAACCACTTATCTAATGTTCCTGCAGTGCCGTAGACCATCCACAAACCTGGTACTCTGCTGCGGCAGTTCCGTCTAAGTCGCCTGTCGTACAGTTGGAATGAAGTCTCGACATCTTTCGGATGAGATATTCGATCTATTGTCGATGCTTCGTGAGTTCAGATCTGCACCGGACCCGACTACCCCTAAAGTGGCGGCTAGTGTCATAATTAGCAGTACTGTTGTTTTGGCTGCTGCAATACTTTTCTGACTAGATTCGAACATCCCTCGCCCATATTCGAGACTTCCGCCACCTCTCACAGCTCAGAATTCTTGGCAGTACCGCGAGGCTTGCGGACATAGTCCTCCTTGGTTGCCGGATGCTCCGACACGACTATTACGCAGCACGGGCCAAAAGCTTTCGCATAGATGCGTTCTAAGGAGCTACGAAAGCCTTCAGGGACTCGAGGTCTCTCTTTCCGCCGTACATCTGATGTCGGCCTCTGAGCCGCTAAGCCGTCAGAAGCAGGTAATCTAGGGGCTAAAATCTTTACCAATTCTATTTCGGAGGGTCCTTATTGTGGTCATAGCATAATAGTTATGGACTAAAAAACCTCAAAACCGTTGTCAAAAATCTAATCATTCAAGCCCCCTTTTTTTCCGGCAGTCACACGTCTGCTTGCCCCCAGGAACTCTGGAGCCGGAATCAAACACACTGTCCGAAAAGCTTGACCCTCTTCTAGTGGCACGCTGTTCGGGAGGAATCCAAGAGGCCTGGATTTTGCCATTCGTCTCCTGGACAGGGAGACATCTAGGATGTGCCCAGTGAGTGCTGCAAGTCTACATGCCGCTTCGACTGCAACATGCTGATGTAACGACATGTAACATTTATGGCAGAAGACCCCCGAAGGGGGTTCGGTATAACTGGGAGGCGCCTCGGGTACGTCTACCGGCCTTCTGGACCTATGGAACCACATGCAGACTTATACATCTCCGCAACACGAACAAAAGTTGGAAAGTGGAAGCTGTCATAACTAGTAGAAGAAAGGGCTCAACATAGGAACATGAGTTCAAGTTTCTGCTTCGCTTGGCATCTGGAGACGCGAAACTCTTGGTTGAAAGCTACGTCGTGCGAGGCGAACAATCTGCCAGGTGGCCCTTGTAATGGGCCAGGGTCGGATAGCCGGTGATTTTTTGCCTCAGATTTAATAAACCGAAGTGCAGCCAGGAACAATCCATACACAATTCGTACTTCAGGCCTTGATGCAAGAATCGGTTTCCTAGACTGGGGTCTAGGGCCTACGATTATCGGGTATGTTATAAAGGAACGTGGGGTTATAGGAACATCGACATATTCATTATAGTAACTGTGGATGGTGGGCAGCAGGCCGCTACAATGAATCCTGCCGCTTCGTCCTACAGCCCAAGCAATAACGCAACACAATAGGGGCCTTGATAATTAGAATGGGGTTTCGGTGTATCCTTGTGCTGTTGTTGCGACGGGACTCTGAGATACCATCAGACACTATGCAAACTGTGCATTATTCCTTCCCCGTTTAGCCCTCCGCAATAGACTTTCCTCCTGGAATAACACAAAGAGTTTCACTTGCCCGTTGCCCCTTGCTTCTTGTTAAATGCCCTTGGCTAGACAGACATGGGTAGCTTGTCACTTTTTAGCCACTGGTTACTAGTCACTCTCTTCTGGCCGTCGTGGCACTCCAAAGAACCACAGCAAACAAAGGACTGAACCCGTCGCATAGGATCGCAGACACTCCGAGATGCCCCTCTGATGCAAACAAGATAGGCCAATGCGCTGTGACAATCACGCTATTGCGGTCCGGGTTAGCTTTTAGGTCTTTTCGCCTCAAATTTTTAATGCTTTAGGATATGAAGATGAGGATTGTAGGCTTTGCAATGCTACCTGCTGCCAAAAGCAACCATTGCATCTGGGTGGCTCCTTGCACAGCTTCACCTCTGTGGCGCTGGCATAGCAATGAATATGGCCGATTAGGACCGTTGGATCGTCCTCACCATGCAATGGCATGATTGCATCAGTGGACCCTTGTTTGCGTGGGGTGCGACTGCGTGTTTTGCAAGTCGCGGCTCTGCTGAAAGTTCCAAGCCAAGAAAGTCCATGCTCTGCGAGCAGGTCGACCCCATGGCCCCATGGGGTCCTTGTACAGTTTCCCAAGCTCCTCCCAGGCCTCCTTCTCCCGGCTGTGGGCTCCGTCGGCCTGCGGCAACGCAAAAGGAGAGCTGACATGGTTCAACCCACCAGGCTCAAGCCATGAGAATCTCTCTCTCCTGATCTGCAAAAACAAAGGAAAGCCTCGCGATTTGTGTGTCTGAGCGGAACCTCCTCTTGTGATAAGACAACAGGGCTGTTACAGGTGCAAGCGTTCCGCCTTGTCAAAGGCAGAATCGGAGAAAAGGACGAAAAGGTGAGACCCAGATTCAAGATGCCGTAAGAATTCATTCTTCACCTGGGCAGGGTGTTGCCGCAACTGCCACAGCATACGGCTGCTTTCTTGCATTCTAGCACGTAACACATAATCGACAGTACCTGCGCCACTGATTCCTGTTGCACCATCAATGAAACTATTCTAGTGAGCATCGCCACGCTCGATGAAACACCTCTGGTTTTGTAGAAGGGGGCCATATCGTCTAACGGTACCGTGCTCTAGGTTTCCTAACCACTCCTCGATATCTCGCGATGTAGTACTGACAATACTCATTCCCGGAATTCCACAAACACAGGAAGTGATTCAGAGCTAAGTATACTCTCAACAGCAAGGATGGAGAGCGGCTGGCTCAACAAATGTTATGCATCCGAGAGTCCAGTGACACAGGTGTCGCTCGGGCACATTGGATGAAGGCAGTTGCCAACGCCAGCAATCGCAATCTTGCCATTGAAGCCTTTGCTTAGCGGGCTCAGCAAATTACGGTGGCAGTGCATCGACAGATCTAGAGTCCTATCGAAGCAATCCTGCTGATTCTTGTGCAAGCACTTCCGAGTAAACTTTAGTAAGCCTTGCTAACCTCTTACTAACGAGCCCCGTTAAAAGCCCTTGAAAAGTTTACCATGAAGCCTTGGCGGTACACCTCTACGAGCACGGACAGATCTCACGATGCGGCCCAGCAGCAGCCTGATCTTGGGTTCAAGTGGCACCACTGCGGAATACTTCCAGGATATTAGTAGGGCACCTAGTTAGCACAAGTAAGGGTAAGAAAGTGCAGCACCCTAATTTAAGTTATCAAGTGTGTATCCGTGCCTATGACTGACTTAGGAAATTCCCTCATCGCAAGTCGAACCGAACCTCAGAATTGCGAGACCCCAAACTTCTGAGGATATTAGAGGTCGTGCACATTGCATTGGTTTACACGCAAATTAAGGAGCAATAGCTGAGGTCATGTATGTTCTTGTATGTGCAGTGCTCGCACGGGAACGGAGGGCGCTCTTTAGGATTGTGCAGAGGCTACAGCTGTACAAATAGCCAACAAGGCACATACAGGTTGAACTGGTTGGGCATACAGTACGTTCAAGAGTACTGGGCTGAGTAAAGGGTTTCTTGCATGGTGTGTTGTGTAGGAAGGCGCTCGAGCCGAAAAGTAGAAGTCGGTTTCAGACATCTGGCAACACTAAACGGCAGCAGAGGAAGTGGTCGGAAAGTTGCGGAGTGTACCGGCTGCGGCAAGTGTAATCCCGGAACCCTAAGAGGCCAATACTGGAAGCCTTCCTTGCCGGCCCATCCCGCAACCATGCTCTGAGCATGCGGCCATTCACCAGAATGCGCAGAGCTTGAAACGTCCTCAGCCATACAATCGGGTCCATGTGCACCTAAACACGTTTAAGCCGCAAACCTCTACGGTTGCAATCACTTTGACTTCACACAGGGAGGAGCATGCGTGCAAACTTCGACGGCCCTCGTCGAGGCTCTGCTACATGGCCTTTGTTTGTTTTGGCACTCATGTCTACCTGGAAACTCTGGTGTAGAACAGCACTCAACAAGAAGTGACAGTGCCAGTGCCGCCCAACAACTTAGTAGCAGGGTGCACGCGGGCGGGACCTCTCCCTTCCTCGCGTGCGCAGTCCTGGCCAGTTGCTCGAGCTCCGCCACGACATAGGTATGTCACATGTATGTATGTATGTATGTATGTATGTATGTATGTATGTATATACATATATATATATATAATACGCACAAAAACATTCTGCAAGCTATATGCGTACACATGCTTTTTCTCACCCAAAGCACAAAGGCGCTGCTCTCCCTTCATATTTTTGACATGAACGCCGGCAGCAAACTGCTGAGGAAATTGAGGAATGAGCAACGAATACTTAAAACAGTTTCAGTAACAATATACAAACATAAGTCTCGGAAACCAGTTGCCAATCATGAACCTGTCTGCACTGGGCGACATGGCTCCTCAATGATGGCTGCAGCCTGACGGAGACGCCCAAGAAATAGCAGTTGACATGTGCATATCGCACTTGCATCAACACTATGTCGTGATGTGCCCGCGTTTTTACAACAAACAGGTTCTGAAAACATCCGAAGCTTGATGATTCTGATTAACCAAGCACGAATTTGCAACTACGTATGGGACGGTTCATCACGCCCCGCCCCCTCCATAACAAAAATACAACAACCCAAAACAACTGATTGACATTTCTTAAATTCAGGCAGGCCAGGATCAATCATGAAGCGAGCAACCACCCAAAACGGTTCATCACCCCCTCCATACAGAAAATCACACAACAACTCTAACTCAACACAACTGATTTAGTGCACCTTGTGGTCAATCACGAAGCGAGCAACGACATACAAGACGGTTGCATCACGCCCTCTTCCATGAACAACATAAGCAAAACAACTCAAAACAACTGTCTTAACAGATCTTATAGTCAGGCAGGTTTGGATGGCAATGGTGGGCTCAGTCGCCAGGGGCAACGAACAAATGAACGATCGCTCCGTGCTGCACTGCAAGCCAAAGCATCTTCACTTCCCTCCGCCACCCGATCCTACACTCATCACTCTAGATCTTTCGCATGCTTTTACTCTTGAGGTCTGTTGTGGAGTAGGGCTTTGGGCCTGGGTAGGCTGGAAACAGGTGTCTGGTTTAGGATCCTCCAGTCATGCCCGGCGCATGTGCAAAATTGCGAACTGAGCATTTAAAAGGCGGGAGGCCTCAAAGCGCCCCGTACTCTTCAATTTGAACCCACCGCCTGGCGGGTGGTCTGTGGCTTCGCGACGACCAACCGGCTGGCCACACGGGCTGCAAAGCTGGGCTCCTGTTCTTGTGGTTTCGAGACTTGGCAGGATCAAGCGTTGCATGGGCCAAATGGACAATCAACAAGAAAAGTGCAGATCGCAGAAAAAAACAGCATGAAGGATACTTCGTGTTTTCTCTCAAGCTTCAACCTCGCACTTCTCTAGCGCCCCTCCTCCTCACCCAACCTCAGGTGGACCGAAGTATGGGTCTCGACGGTCGGAAGAATGTACTTTCACGGAGCAGGAAGCATGTGCAATAGGTCTGGTGGGAAGATTTCAACTCGAGAGTCTGCAGAACTGCAACTTTACGACTTCTTTTGGAGGCCGACAGCCTGCGAACCCAAACCAGCCTAGGAGTGGCAAGTCTGATTAGAATTGACTAGAGGCTCGTACAGTAGTATATAGTCATACTCAAGCCTGCTCAATGCCTCCCTGTGAGGAGCCCGCTCGCAAATGTGTTTCTCGAGCTCATTCTGCGGCAAGTTGGCAACATACCTGTGCAAGCGCCCATGTCGTGTTGACAACCCTCCCGCTAAGGTGCGGCATGTGCTGCACGAGCTTGCTATGCTGTGCATCTCACGAAAACCAGCCAGTGCAGGACAGCAACAGGCCCCTAACAAAATCCTCAGCGTTCACTCCGTTGCTTACCTGAAGTCATACCAGACGCATAACAATCATGATGTAAGCAGAAGCCACTACTGTATCAGGGTCTGTGCCATTGCAGCAGTCCTCAAAGACTATCCTCTACTGCCCTGCAAGATACCCTAAACAGCAGTAGAAGCTAGTGAAAAGGGTTTTGGCGGTTTGCGGTTCTATTATTATATACTTAAGGATGATGCTTAGGAATGTGCGGAATGATATGTTTACTACGACTATTACTATTATAAGTCTTCAGGCCCCTATGAGATGCAAAGCCAAGCCGGCTCACCAGGCTGCCGATCGAAGAGTCGGATCCGTTGGGTCCTACTCCAAGCAGCCCACGCTCACAGTAAGGATGTCGTGGTTGGGGACTTCACAGGCTTGATGTAATTGGGTGTTGGGCGTTCCGTGATGGGTGAAAGGAGCAGCCGGATCTGCTAAAGCAACATCGCGACACTATATACATGAATCAAAGCACTGCAAGAACCACCCGCACAGGTTTCCAGCTTTGCCACAGGCTCTCCCTAATACCACGGCATCTGAGTTTTAAGGAATTCGTCTCATACAGCTGGCATGGAGTCCAGGCAGCAGATGTAGAGGTGAGTTCCCTAACGAGCTGACTAGGTTACATTCACGTCGCACTACGATGACAGCAATGCATCGGATGGGTGATACGTCTGATCTGTCGACCTTCTAAGGGAGTGTGCAAACAAGGGTTTACGGCCGTAGGGTTCTTCGTCCCCTTCTGCTTGGCTGACTGGGTCTCATGTTTTCGGTTGCAGTAGCTGCCTTAATCCCGGATTCGGGAGAACCTCGGTTACTGGAGCGTGCCAATCTCATAGTCTCGCAAAAGTGTACCTCCAATCCCACTTCCAACATAATACAATGCCAGCACCTCCTGTGTCTACTCTCTTTGGCCTTTGTGGGTTTTTCGTAAACAAAATTACGGGTCGTTAAGTCTACCAAGGTGTAAAAATCATTCTAAACTAAACCCCACAGCCTATGAGCCTTAAATCCTACACCCGTTGAGCTGTTCGGCTGCATCATGAGCACTCTATAGCAATGGAGAAAGCCCTCCTCATTCCTCTACCGGGCAAACGACCAAGACTCTTGCTTCACAGGTGTGTGTCGGACCGTGGCTAAACGGAAACGATACCGCGGAGATGTTCTCTCGGGTCCAATCTCCCCAAACCAAATCCACAAATCCCCCAAGTCCACCCAATTGTCAAGACTCCAAACCCAAGGAGCAGTCCATCCGCATGTCCAAAGGGCCGTCACTGCGAAAGCTGAAACCGCGCTCTGCGCGATCCAGTTGCGGAGAGGAGACGCCTGGGCATTGATGCGTCCTTTTCACGGCCATCTCCTGCCTGCAAGCCTCTCCAGTGCGACCTACGGTTCAAGCTTCTTCCGAAATCAGTATCTCAGGCTCCAACCCAGATCTGCAAGCACGGCATCGCATTGCGGCCTCCGCAGCCAATTCGAGTTCCCCAGTCGAGAGCAATATGAAATAAAGAGGCAGCTTCGTGATCGTCCGCTCTGCGGCACATATCATGCACAGATTTTGTGTTGCTTGTCATGCCGAGAGCTCTTGTTGTCGTTCGTGTGTGCCGGAACGAACTCTCTCACCACCCTCGCTCTGCTCTCGGAATCGTTGAGACATTCGTCTTTTAATTATCCTGGCCAAACAGACACATGAGGTGACCCAAACAGTCACAGCACTAAACTGCTGAAACACCGGCATTGAAGGAGCCCCGGGCCGGCAAGCGATGCCAAGTGCGACATTGACCAAAGCATTGAGGAAAGGAAACCGACTGGTGACATTGTGGTCCTGTTGTATGCTTCGACACCCGATTGAACTGGGCCATTTCGACTTGGAGGCACCCAATTTGGTCTGCGAGCTGTGTCTCGCACCCGTGCGGTCGATGCTTGAATCGCTCACAGTAGCTCTCGCTAATCACAGAAGGTTATGGCAGGTGACAGTGATGCCCGAGAAGCCATGGGGACTCACTGCCATGCGACTTCTCTGTCCTGCAGAGACTGCAGCGAACGCCCCCTCCGAGCTGAGATGGCCTTGTGGATGAAAGGAGGCCGGAGGCACTGAGCAGGGAAGGGAGCTCAGCAAAGTTGCCCCGAGCCAGTTGGGCACCTGGGCATGGTGGCGGCTCTAAGCAGAGCTTTCATCCTATTCAGAACAAGTTTGCGTGTGATGACTTTGGGCGTATGGCATCTGTAACAAGTATATCCTTGACGATGGGTTGTTGGGCTGGGCTGGAGTTGGAAGCTTGAAAGCCATATCAACTGAGGTTACGCCCAAAACTGTAGAGGGGATGATGCTGCATCTCTCGGAGAGAAAGCCAGACAGGAGGCCCTTGCCAACATGGCAAAGCCGGCACAAAACTGCGCAAGTTTCGTCGCATTCTGCTATGATTGAAGTCTGAATGAATCCTGGCAGCCACCCTAAACCCTAAGGAGTCACGGTCTCAAATCCTAATCCGTCAACTCCAAATCCACTCCACAGAACTGGCAGAACACGACACTTTTGCTTGCTGTCGTCTACAGCGCTCGAGGCTGAAAGCAGCAAAAAAGGCCCCCAGGAAGCTCTTCCCCTTTGAGCAGGCTGATATAAATTGGGGCCGTACTGGTAATACTTAGAGTCTGCTCACTGTCAGGGTTCTATAATTTAGGGCCCAGTAAAGTTAGAATGGTGTGTTGGGGTATCCATTAGAGGCTAATAATGAAATTCCGACCAATATATTAGACAGCTCCGAGGTTAGGTCGGAGCTCTGCTCTCCTGCGATGGGGCGACGCTGGACATGCTGAGAGAAGGTGTAGCACCAGTGCCGGGGGCAGTCTTATGCGAAACAAGGGTCTGTATGACTCCCCTTCTGTGGGAACTATGTAGTTCGCTACACATTATTCGCGAGGGAAGAGGACTGGAGAGCTGCGCTCCCTGCTCTCAGTGACATAGTACATTCCTCTGCTCAGGCAGTCCTTGCTCGCTTTGCTGCTGCTTCCGCATCCTCCGTGTCAGAAAGATGCCATCGAAGCAAACAAAGACGGGCTTGGCATTTGTGGAAGGATCTATGCACAACAAACTTTGAAAGCTGCGAAGAACATCCCAGACCCTGAAGCCTCCTCTTACACAGCCCTCGCCTGTAAGCTCAAGGCAAGTTCGTCATGACTTTGAGTGACTAAAACCAATGATGCTAATCATGCACATAAACTATAGAGAATAGTATTGGTAGTAGAGAATGACTGAAAGCTATGTGTTTAGTATACTTTTCCAGTATTCGGGCGGTCTGATCCTTTTGGGAAGCCCAGGCTCTGAGCCTGTTCAGCTGGTACGTCGGCCACACCAGCCCTAAACCCCAAACACCCTGACCCTAAACCCTCTACAGCTCTCCAAGCCCCTATCCCCTTAAAGTAATCATGTCACGACTTCTTCCAGCGCTCCTTGTCCTTGAAGCGAGTGATCATCGTCATGCCCAGGGCTGAGCCGTTCGCCATGGCCTCCAAAGCCTCAGGGAGCTTTCCTGGGCCCTCGGCTCTTTCTGTAGTTTGGACAAGCAAACGCAAGGATCATGATGATAAGCCCGAAAACACGAGATAGAAGTATCATTAGATGATCATGCCAATTAGTCGTAATAAACACGCGAAGCAAACGTGATTTTTCATAGTGGCACCATGTGACAACATAGTGTGGAAATGTTGTGTTTGGCTGTGACCTGCAGGAAGTTGCAAGTTCAATGGTCCTGCACTGTCTCCACCCACTTGAGATTGCACTTTCTCGAGGCTCCTAGATCCTAGACATCCCTAACCCCTACAAGGCTTCTCTCGCCCGGAACTGCTTACATCACCCTTTTTGTGCACAGGCTTGATTGGAGCACGCCCGGCCCACATCACCCTAAACCCTCTTAGATCCCTTATAAATCCCTTTAAAGGAACCCCTAAAACCCTAAAGCCCAGATCCCCAAACCCCAAGGAGCCCCTGGCCTTGGCCCCTTCTTCGAGGTTCACTTCGCCTCAGGGGCTTCAGGCTTTAGGGGTCTTTTCCCTCCTACTTAGCAAGGACTAGCTCGCCTTTGGAGGGTTTAGGGGAAAGGCAAGGGCTCTGGGACTCGCAGGAACGAAGCCATCAGAGACCTCAGAAGCAAAGAAGCGCAGTCACAACATGCTCCAAGACCGACTCTCGTAACCTGAAATATAACCTATAATGCATTACACAATTATAGACTATAGAGTTAATGTAACCGGTAAAATATAGCACGCAACGCAAGATGAAGCCACTGCCGAAATACACAATCGTCCGGAACTGTGGACAAGATGCGCTCAACCAGCTTTTCCGGCTGCAGCTTTCCAGCGGCCACCATAGAGAGCAGCAAAGGCATGTCCGTTGCCGCCAAGCCATGAGAACCTGCCAGCGTATATCAGCAGACCCTTTGCTAAGTACCTATATGGGGGATACTTAGCGGAGAAATAATGATAATTACTACTCTAGACTCTAGAACCTCTACAATCTACTATGTAGGTACTTTGTTACTGTAGGACCCTATGGGTTTCGCATCATTGCCACTGGAAGCGCCACAGGGCCTATAATCTCGATCTCCAGCCCTGCGACGCGTGCCATCGGTAGGCGGGGTTCCTGCACCGTCCACGCTTGCAGTTGTGGGTTTTTAAGGCTTTCAGGGCTTAGGGTGTCCCATACCCAGGCGAATCAGACGATCAAATCTCCGTGAACCACGCTCGGATTCTCGAGCACTCTCAGTGATCTACTAATATTGTGGTGATGTGGCAATGGCCGTTCGGATGTCGAAAATCAAAGGGTGCTCATGCGGGATATGGGTGGGGGTGAAGCGGAAGGTCATCCTGGACTTTGGGAACTCATGGCATCCGGGATGTCTTCTCCGGTGCCTAACGCGTTTAATCTTAATTGTGCGTGGGAAACCGTGCTTGCATGTGTGGGATGCGCATGGCCCTCTGCCACCTCGCCGTGTGGCAGGCCAACCTGGACCATTCCTCAGTGGTCTCAGGCTATTCTTGAAAAGGCCGATATCGGGCCTTACGCAGGCTTCGTGCGGTTCTGATTGGCTTCGAGCTACCGTATTCAGGGGTCCTTACCAGAAGCTTCCGTTCATTTTTCGGTCTAAGTGGTCCATGATGTATAATTAATCGGGTTCCACACTTTCTGAAGCTACCCGATCACAGGGACATGCGCAAAGCCCAACCATAGCTGATTACCATCGGCAAGATGATGCACCAGAAGGATACCCGATATGTGATAAACAAGTTGGCCATCGAGGCGACGGAGGATCTCTTCCAAATGAACTGTCTCCATTTCTTCCCTTCACCTGCATGCGCGACAGTGCTCCGATTCAATATCTTTTCGCGATAAACTCAGCCTTGAGTCGACCACCGCGCCTGGTGCACCAAACCTTGGCTGGCGCAGGGTACTTTGACTCTGCAATCTGGTAATCCACTTTATCTCAGATTCCCTGCTGGTGCCCACTGCTCGACTCAACTGTCAGACAGTTCGACTGAAGCTAAGGCTGACCTGTGCCTGGCTCCGTCTCCGAATCGACACCGGGCAGCCGCATTTTCACAGGACTTGGCGAAACCTGCTGCATCGACAGTGACGTCGGCACCAAATCCGGCGGTGACCTGAAGCTGCCCGCAGGAAAACCGTACCAAAAATACTTATCAACGCACTCATCGCTTCAGTGACTTGAGGATTCATGGCCTAGTCCTTAGGGTGTACGGATATGCAACATAGTGATGGTCATCACGGCCAAAGATGGGTGGACACATCGAGCACTGCACTAGTTTCCAGTAGCGTCTGGTGACTTGGGATCGGGACCGGAGCTGTCGAGTTGGCCACAGGAGCTTAGGTCTGTCGCAGGCTCGATCACTCTTGACCTAACACTCTAAACCACCGGGTTTTCGATTCAAGAAGATGTTGAGGCTCGAATCTTATTCCAGCGGCTGTCGCTCACAGGTCTTCCTGTCTTATTCGGGCTTATTGTCCAAGGGATATCACCCACTGCTACCCAAGCGACTTCGGCAACTTTGGCTCGAACATATTCGTCACCTCGCCCCGACACACAGCATGACATACTCAGTCCAAGATGTTTAAATGCAGCTGCACAGGTGAATCTGCATCGGTATTGCGCATGCGTGCTGCCAGCCTATGCAGGCATGAAAAGAGTAGAGACACGAATAGAGAGAGATCACATTGTACTAGCCCATGCTATACTATACTATACTATACTGTACTATAATTTATGAGATTCTATTGTGTAGCACCCGGTCTTGCAGGATCCTGCCTTCCTTGGCATCGAAAGCCTCAGGGGAGGCTGCAATTCGTCGGGGCGCGTGCTCGCAATGTATGGGCCCTCATGTAAAAAAGGGTTTGGAGTATATTTTACAGTATCTTTACTCATAAGTATCTCATAAGATAACGTCCTTCATAATTCGAACAGGGTTTTGGTGGCATCTTTCGATAGAACTACATCAGGGACTAGTAAAGGACCACAATCTGACTAAATATTTCTGTCAGTCTTCGGTATCACACATCTTGCTGGCTGGGACTGGGGACCCTGGTAGGCTGAGCCAAGACTCCTCAGGAGCCAAACTAGGCCCAAATCTTACGAGCGGCTTTTGGCTTTGGGCCTGGGCTCCATGATCTCTCTTGGTGGAACGGAAGTTCGGTGAAGCTTTGGAGCTTGAGCTTCAAGTCTGATGCCATGGCCAGGCACATGCCAGGCGCCGAGCTCCACGGCCTCAGCGGGAGAGACTCCGAGGGGGCATGGTGTGAGGGCTCTTACAAAGAGTTGCGCTGCGAGGCAGGAGATAGTCCAAACACCTCTGCATGTGCGGATATATATATATATATATGTATACAATTCTATACGCAAATATAAATTTGCACATATGTTCAGAATTCGCTCCTCTGAACTATTCCGATCAGGGGCACACGCCTGCTCTTGCAAAATCTCTTTCAAGTGGCGAAGTCACGACAAAGAAACAACACACATGCAAACAAAATACATACTCACTTGCATGCGCATGCAAACACAAAGAGGTGCATGTACTGTAAGCGGATACCCGAACCTTTGCGCATATGATTCCCAATTCGTGTGCCATGGCAGCACCTCGAAGTCCAAGCCATGTGCGGCACAGATGGGGGTTTCTGAAATCTGGGTTAATTATTTCTGGGTCCTTGTTGCTATTTCGACGCTTATACACTCGCACAAGGCAGGCAAGGCTTTGGGTTAACATTCGTGTCTAGCATTTTCTGAAACTCCCGTATTGACTCCCACTGCAGACAAGCAGCTTTCCTGCATGCCTCCTCGCTTGGATCCACAGCCAAAACGCGCACGTTTTCTGCCGCGGCCAAGGCGACCATCACCTCGCGTCTAAAGAGCCCATACACTGCCATACACCCGAATTTAGGTATTTGACTTGAACTATAAAGGGCCTCTCGCGCGGGTTAAGCTTTAAGCCGCATGCCTGAATATTGTAGGGGGTATCAGGCTCTGTGGGTCAAGGCAGATTGTGCCGGTTCCGAGTTCGCAACTCTGAGGTAGTGCCTGGCTGCACGCACCCGATGGAATATTCAGGCCACGAGAGCGTGGAAACGCAAGGGGATCCGGTGCACTGACTCGTAGTAGTCTTCCGGACCGAGGCAGAGGCAAGAAAAATCAAATCATCTGAGTGGCCGCTGAGAGTCCCAAACCACCGCAGCCAAAAACTGCCAGGGTCTCACCCGGCTTCAATCGGCCTTGCTGCATGACCTCGTTTCGTGCGTTTCAGCATCTTCTGCTGCTCCCGCTTCATCCGTCTGCCTAATCAGTTTTAACAGGAAAACCCTCAAACATCGTGCAAGCTTAGACCCCAGACCCAGCAAACGAAACCCCTTGACCTGAGGGGTACTACCGGGGAAGCTAGATCACCGCAATGTGCGAAACCCTCTTAAACCCTGAAATCCTGCAGCTTATAAACCCGAGACTCCAAATCCCCACCTTGGGGGAACCAAGAAAGCAAATACCATGTCTGCAGACCAACCGACAGCTCGATATGCGGTCGTCATTCGACATCCCAGAGCTGCAGCCTGCAGGAAGGAGACCTGCTTGGAAGAAAGCCGGCTCAGGGCTCGTAGGCCTTATATGGTTTAGGGCTTATAGGGTGTAAGGCTTATAGGGCTTAAGGCTTATGTATAGGGTTCAAGGCTTATAGGGTTTAAGGCTTATAGGTTTTAGGCTTACTTCTGGTTAGCAAGCTCTTTGCCAGCGGGAGCTTATGCTGAAGGACTCCTTGTGGTTTTAGATTTGGGCTTGTAATCCGTCCGAAACTCTAAATTTAAATCCAACCCCTCATACCGTAAGCAGGACTTCGACTTTCGTGGAGTCCCTTTCTGCTCTCCGGGTTTTTTTACTTTAGGGTCAAGCAAAAATTGATACTCTGTTATGCTGGGGCTATAGTGGTAACCTTGCATGCTTAGCTCCACAACTTCCCAATTCACGCTCTCAAGCCTCAAAGCCTTCAGCTATCGGAAGCCTTCAGGGTCTACCCTCGACCTCGAAACGTTCAACCGTAAGAGTGCGTTGGGGTACTTACGAGGGTCTCATATAAATATTGACGCATTGCATGCTGAAGCTGGAGCCCTTCGGTCAGACCCGAACCTCGGGAAAGTTCTAGAAACTGGGGATCTTTGTGGCAGCATTAGACCGCCCGCCTACAAATACACATGACGCACCAAATTCTTGAGATTTCTCAAGCCCCGCCCTTGTAGTTTCAGATTGGCGGAAGAACGACTGGTCAAGAGACAGTTCTTGACATTCGCAGGATTCAGACCAAACTGACAGGTTCAATGTTTCCTTCTGTTGCGAGATTCTTCAATTTGGGACTTTGCATGACTTCGCCCAGGATGCAGAACCACAAGAAGCATTCTGCCAAAAGCAGCAGTGTTCGAAGCGACTGCTGAATAAAATGGTGCCCCCTAGTGCCGTAGCGAAGCTGAGCAGTGGCACCTACCGAAAGCTCCCAAGCTCCAAAGCCTGCCTTGACCTTGCTGAGACTGGAATGTCTGACTTGCTTGAGTCATTGAAACTGGATCAATCACAATGATAGCAAAGGCATAGTAGCACAGTCACCCACGAGAAATTTCAAACCCCATGATGCCTTCGGTGGTATGAGGCTGCAGTTTCGGTCCGCGCGGGGTATCCTCGGCATCAGCTTTACATGCATGTTCGAGATCGTTCGGAATGCGTCCAAAAGCTGCGAGCGTCGCTACGAACTCTGCGAAGCCACCTGGAAAGGTAAAGCCCGGCTGAGCTTGTGCCTCGCATGGAGAAACCACGAACACGCAGATAACACAGAGAGAAACACAGCTTTCACTCAACCCTCTCTCTCGCTTCCCAATCTGTATGCCTCTCTCTCTCTCTCTGTACCTAATAAACATACATGTATATATATATATATACACATGTATGTATACAAACCTGATACCAGTGTCCTCGTGTATATATATATATAAATAAACGAATGTATATATATATATATATATGTATACACATACATACATAAACATAACCGTATGCATACACATAGATACATACATACATACATACATACATACATACATACATATGTGCATACAAACCTGTATGCATATAGTCATACATGTGCAAACACATGCTTTTCCACGTATCTTCAAATGGATAATAGGAACAAGACTGTCTCGCAATCCCGCTCCGGGGACGGAAGAACCTAAAAGATGGAAAGAGCATCTGTTTTGTATGGACAGAACTCGAGACACGGCAGTTGACGAAGCCACTGCTGTCACTCGGCCGCGAGTCCCACGTAAGTGAAGGGCCCATGCTTTTTGTCGCTTGTTCATATGCTTGGCCTGATGGTGTCTCAAGACCACTGTTCTACACTGCATAAGACAGAAAACACGATCGCGAACCATCGGCAATTCCAGCACCAATCCCCAAATCTCTAAAATCCTACACCCCAAAACCCATTGCCCCACGTGGCCTCGCAAATGGTAGGTCGGCTCCTTGCACACTGCCGGCATGCCCCGCAGCTGAGGATGAAAGGGACGGCCACGCGGTCACCTACCTGCCGGATTTAGGCTATGGCTACGTACTCTTTACAATTCGAGGCAGGAGGTGTCTGGGGTTGTGGTGCCGGGACAGAGGATTCAAAGAAGGGCGAATGATCCTGGAGTATCTGAAAAATTCTGCAAGCTGTCTTACTACAGCACTTCGGCTTGCTGACCATTCGGTCCATGTGCACGGCATACGGCACAAGCCCAAATAAAACGCAGCTGGCCTGGAACTTGGTTGTACCCTCGCCCAATTTCACGACGACGCCACTCCTTGTCGAGTCATCACTATTTTATGCTGATTGCCCCTGGCAAAAACAATCTCTTGCCGGGGTGTGCCGGTACCCTGCGTTGGTGTATATGCACGTACATGCAGACCTAGCAACATACATGCACCCATACATGCATACATGACATGACATG